GTCTTATACATGAGTGGCTGCAGCATTTTAATTACTATTCCTGGCTCTATGACATAAGAATTCTTTCACGTGTATAGGATGGTTTGAGGTAATGCTGGTCACCAGGGGTCATTTCCTGCAGGAGCGCACAGGAGCAGCGCTCCGGCAGTAAAGAGCCCAGGGGGTGGGCACATGCAAGAAGCCCCGCCCCCTGCTCCCAGCAGCCCTGGGTCACAAGGAGCAAGAAGCAGCCAGGTAAGTTGCAGTGGGTGTTGCCTTCTGACACACTTCTGGTGATGTCAGGGGGTGTGGCATATGCAAATAAGTTATGCTAATGCATTATGCTAATGAGCTCCTGCACCTCTTCTTCTACGAAATAACCCCTGCTGGTCACTATTCTGGGATAGACTTTGGCACAGGTTCATGAAACAGAAATGTTAATAAAAATTTCCTGCTTAGACTTTTTCAGCACTCCGAATATCACTGAATATTTGAACTTTCTTCTGTAGAAGCATTTTATAGTGCAATCCTAAGATTACTCTCCTGAATAAACTGGGGCTTAGTTCTGAGTAGACTTGATTAGAAGTTGTCCCACTGGTGGACCTCCTGATGGCACTGGTATTTCTGGCCACTGTGTGACACAGAGTGTTGGACTGGATGGGCCTTTGGCCTGATCCAACATTGGCGTCTCTTATGTTCTTATGTTCTTAATATTTCTACCACACATCAAGTCAATGAGCCAGTGATGTCTAGGTCTCTTAAACACAGGATTTCAATCCTCCTCATCCTACATGGTGTGTCACTGTAATTTAGTTCTCTGAGGTGAAAGAACTAGAGCGCCTCAAACTTTGCTACTGAGCTAGCTGTAGGAACTTTTCTTTCAAAAAGAATGCAAATATTTTCTTTCCCCCTTCCCTCTTTCACAGTGAGAGACTTCATTTTGTGTCTAATGCTGATGCAACAACTTGATGCTAGGCCACTGGAGAAGCCTGTGTGCTCCTTTTCCACACAGCGCTGTATACAAGGTTTACTGATGCATAAAGCCAAAAGTTTATTTGGAAAATCCATGCAACATGCGGATAAACATTCAGTAATCTTTTCCACACACATGTCTGAGAACATATATTAGCTTTTCCAAGATCAGGAAATGCAGCCTTGGCAGAGATAGATCGCTAGCATTGCCATTCATGCTGTACAGAAATAAATGCCTGAGGTAGAATGTTGAATTTTCCCATTCATTTGCTCTTTTAAAAAAAGGTTTGATGGCAGCCCTCTAAATCTGAAGGATAATTGGGGGTTAAGCTTCTACTTGGGGAATCCTATTAAACAACTAGATTTGAAAAAGTGCAGTCTATAGTAGAGTTGCATTTTGAATGACTAAATTTGAAAGCTCAGACAGGACTGTACCCAGTTCGTTAAGTTTGCTTCTCTGAGAATCATACAATGGAACTGCTGAAAGTAAACAAGTATTTTGAGGATACCAGAGACAAAATAAAAAAAGTGCAACTCAAATGGAGTAAGTCCAAAGAGGAGTTTGGTCATTTTAATAAAGGGGATAAGTTGGTAATAAAGCAGAAGTGTTCTTAAGCGCACTGTTTATAAAAGGAACAGAGTTGTAGTCTCAATGTTCTGTGACGATTCCAAGCAACTTTGTGTGCATGTGTTTATATACTTTGTTTACTGGATATATTGCATGGTTATAATTTATTGCTCTCTTTTTATGACTTTATTTGTATACATTGTACTGGAGGGTTTTTTGCATTATTTCTAATTCTATAATCTGCCTTGAGTCTCAATGAGAAAAGCGAACTATAAATGAAGTCAGTAAATAACTAAACAAATAAGTAAACAACTACAGCTCTTGGTTGACATGATGATGTGTTGACAAACTAGCTAAACAAAATTTAGGGTCCACTAGGTCTTCCTCTGGAAATATATCCTTGCTGTTGCCAGTAAAACGTCAAATGCTGGTGCCATTTTCATGATCAGCCCTTAGGGTGCTTTATGTCCCACTGGGGGAAATATGGCAACTTTGGTCTGAATCACAGTCCACTGTGGCCACTATTTTAGTAATAAAAACAGGATGGGAGGTCCCTTCACAGATCACTCAACTTTGTCAAATCTGGCTCCTGAGCCAGAAAGAAAATGGCTACTCTTAACTGAGGTGTGGAGGAGACAGTCATTTAACCATGTGCTGTCCTAGAGAGCTGGAGGAAGCTTCAAGGCACTGGGCACTGGAAACTCTGTAGAGCTCTATAACATCCTAAGTGAAGGAGCCTGTCCTATATTTTTAACATCTGATAGGGCATGCATAAAGAGAGGGACAGCGGATTTGCATTTAACCCATTTCTTTTGAATCCCTTGCTCAATCTGGTGCTGTGCTAAAAGTATGCTTGTAAACATTTTCTTTTTAATAAATACTTTATAACTTTTGATGCTGGTAGGGGTTCTCTGTACCACATAGACCTCCACTTTTGTGGACACGCTATTTTAAAAGGACCGCCGGGGGAAGGCAGGCAGTTAGCAAGTGGCTATTTCTCAAGGGAAACACAATGCAGTAAACTGTCCCCATGATGACCAGGTGCTGGGCAGCAGGAGACACAGAGGTAAGGCCTCAGATCTTGGAAGTGAAGCTGGGAGTTCTGACCCTCCCAGCGGGCAATTCTTTACAGTGGTAGCAGTGGGTTACCAAGAGAGAAAGTAAAGCCTCTCCAGGTGTTGGGAAAACCTTGGAGGGCTGGGTGGAATAGGGCCTGCAGGCCAGAGCAGGCCCGTTCTATCACATATGCTATGGAGAATTTATTTCCTATATGTAGAATACTCAGATTCATAAACAAGTGACAAATTCTGGCTAGTGTACTTAGCTCCTATTCCTTATCCATGTAAGTATCAAACCTTAAATTGCCATTTGATTTCCACATACTGCAATGCAAAGATGCTTCCTTTTATTCTGTATAGAAGCAATGTTAGAAAGGGGGATCACTAATTAATGGAAATGAGAAATTTCTCCACATGCATTTTTCATGCATTAGAGGGAGTGTGTGTGTATATAATGAGAACTGACAGTGTTGAGAGCTATGAGCATGTTAAAATATTTAGAAAGCCACAGCACGTGCTAGCCGCAGTCTGAACAATCATTATAAAAACAAGTCATGGCTGTTATCTAGTGAGGTTCACAATGACGTTAGGTATGACTAACACTAGTCAACATGCATGGCCCTTTGTCCCATTTTCAGCAAAGTGCTATAAATACAGACTATAAATACATATCTTTTATGGAACTTCCAGAAGAAAAGAGAAAGGTGCTGAGTAATACCCAGCAAACAGTATGAAGCAATCACACTAAGTTACCCACACCTGGCATTAACTACTAAGCAAAATGCAGCCCTTGAGTCTTGTTTTATTAAAATAAACAACTCATACAATAAATTTTAAATTGCTATAGTGGAATTACCTGTCCTACATCTGAATATTTCTCGACAGATGATCACATGCACATCCCTAGAAAAATAATTTACAGTGTACAGTAGTTTTAGCATGCACTATGTCTGCGAAATACAACATAGCAAAAGAACTTTGGGGGGGGGACACACTCAAGGTTCTGTCTTTTTGGACAGAATTCAATGGTATTTCACTGCGACAGCTGTGATAAAAATTCTGCTAAAGAGACTTACCAAGCACAATGACCACAGTCTTCAGAAGACTCATCATGGTGTCCCGATTTCTACGTGGTCCAGAGCTATGTCTGGACATTCTCATAGTCCTCTGGCGGACATAGCCAAAGATATGAGCATATAAGACCACCATGACTACAAAGGTGACCAGGTTGAAAATAGCCCAGAAGACCAAGTAAGAGTCACTGTAGAGTGGTGCCATGTTGGAACAGTGATCGAGGTCACAGATACAGTTCCAGCCCACACTTGGTATAGCTCCCATGATGATGGCCATAGTCCAGATGACAACAATTACCACCACAACTCGCCGGTTACTCATCCGAGTATGCAACTGCATGCGGAACACTGTGATGTGCCTCTCTATGGCAATTGCCAACAGGTTGGCAACAGAGGCTGTCAGGCTAGTATCAATGAGACCCTGACGAAGGAGCCAGGTGCTGACAGTCAATCTTCTAGTGTTGGGTCCCGTGTTAAACATTAGGTAGAAGTATGCCAGTCCTGCAAAGAAGTCTGCAGCAGCTAAGTTAGCCATTAGGTAATAAATAGGAAAATGAAAACGCCGGTTGAGATAGATAGCCACCATAACTAAGAGGTTGGCTAGCATGATGAAGACACATACTGTAATCCCAAGTCCCATCACAAGCTTGCTGACAGTGTTCCATTCAGTGGCTAGAGGTTTCCCACTTCGGTTATAAAAGAAGGCAATGGTTTCATTATAGTAGCACTGTGGTTCCTGGAAAAGAAGAACATAAAAGCAGATTTACAAGTTAGAACTGGAAGTATCTAGAAGAGGCAATGAAGGAAAACTTCTGCTGGGTTCCAATTATGTAAATACACCTTAGGACTGAATTAAAATGATCGCTATCAAAAAACATGGAAAATGACAATGTACCCCTTCTACATGGTTTGTGGTGCTGGAAGGCTTATTTTGTTCAATTTACATCAATTTAAGGCAAAGCAGCCCTTCTACATGGGTCATCTTGGTGGAAGGCTTACTCTGTCCCAAATAAAAACTGTTTGTGCCAGATTCTTTGTCACTGTCATCCATTTCAACATTTGTTTAAACCAAGTGTGTATAATAAATGTTCAAGAAGGTATCTGTAAAAGAACAATTAAGACACAAAATCCTTTTAAGGTTAGCAATTTTCCATCTTGAAAGTTAAACAGCAGCTGAATAGATTCTATATGCATTGCAAGGCATAGTAAGAGAAAACGAGGGATTCACGCATATAATGTTGCTTCTCTTGCCAAATCACTTCACTCTCTTAGAACATATCTACACTATGAACCTGTATTTTTTAAAAAATTCAGTTTCCAGAATCCTGGGAACTGTCGTTAGCAGTCACAAAGAATTATGTTACTGCAGTTCCTGGAGTTTTCTGGGAAGAAGAAACTACTGTTAAAACCTGGATAGTCCAGGCTATCCAAATCTTGTCAGATCTCTGAAGCTAAGCAGGGTCAGCCCTCATTAGTATTTGGATGGGAAACCCTGTGGGGTCCCCATAAAGACAGTTGCTACATGCTTTTATTTATTTGGAGAAGCTAATTTATATATGGTCTCTCCTAAAAGACAGGATTAAAGTTATGACACACACGGAATTCAGTTTCTAGCTGAAAAACTGTGAGGGACTAATAAATGTGAACTGAAATCTTTGTCATCATCAGTACCGATCGTAGAAACATGGCATGGTTTTTAAAGTCCTGTTCATTCATTCAATAAAACCAGCTAGAATTTCTCTTGCAGACAGTGAATAGCTGCAAAAACAGGTGTATTTAGGAATGTGTAATCCATCACTGCTTCTCTGCAATAGACAAAGGAAATAGTTTGAGCCTTTCAGATAAATTACAGCGCATTACACTGCCCACTTTGTAAACAGGTTAGCTAAAAGCCATAGTTTGATCCTAGAACATGCTCCACAATGATAAAGTTCTAATCGCAGAATGTAAATTCACTGAGTTTGCTATCAACCCTATATGTTATCTATTTGTGGCTAGCACCAACTTCCACAGGAAACTTCACACTTCTGGGGCAGGATGAGAGTACAGGAGCATGGTCTTGCATCCCTTGTCATACATGCAAATATTATGGGATTGATCTGATTCAAATAGTGATGAACCAGATTAACATAACAGAAACTAAGAATTTTTTTAAAAAACTAGTGATACTGTACTTGTAAGAACAGGATAGAAAAGTCCATAATATTTGGTAGCCCAAACTTCAAGGTAAAGATTTTATAAGCAGTATACTCTCCCAACCATTTATACTCCGGGAGAATGACAAGGTTTTATAGGTTTAATCTCAAATACTTGACTTTTGTTCACCAAGTTTTATGTCTTTTAAAGCACACTATGAATATACAGAATGCAAAAAAGGAAGGAAGGAAGGAAGGAAGCCAAACCAGCTTCCTTCACCCTTGTGTGATCCAGCCAAGACTACTGTACTCCGATCTGGTGAGGTGGATCTCTGGGAAGAAGCCATTTTCAAACACTATCTTTATATCCACTTGCTTAGAAAAAGCAAACAAACCATTACAATTTGATAAACACTCTGACCATCTCAGGGTTTGTATGAGTCAGTCTGGCAGTTCCCTATAAGCATTTTAATTTCAACAAGTAGAAAACAATTGTCCAAACCTTCCAGGACCAAAATAAAGATTCAAGAAAATCCTACCATCTATTCCTCCAATTTGCATTTCAGTTGGAAACCCGAGAATGTAACATGCAGCAACTGTTAGAGAAAGTGATCTGAGCTGGACAGCACGCACGACAACGGAGATTTCTGAAAAGTGTGTTACCAAAAAAAGGATCTTCAGCAACTGGGAGGTAGTGGAAACAACTGTATGTTAGAAAGGTCAAAGACCTTGTTGGAAGCTGTGATTACAAACAGTCAGATACCCTGCTGGAAGCTATGATTACAGGCCTCCACCAACTGCCGGTAAAAAACAAAACAAAAACCAAAGAGGGTGTTGACCTTCCCTACTATGTATTCATTCTGAAGTTACTACAAAGAAATGACAAAAGGAAAAATAGCTTTTTGGGGGCGAGGGACAGATTATGGGCAAGGAAGCCATGCTGACTTTGGCTTTCGAGAGAATTTTGTTAAGAGACCCAATAAATACTCAAAATTTAACTGCCAGATTCTCAAATGACTACTCCCTTTTATCACTGGAGTTCAGATAAATCACATGGTATGCCCTTTCGAAGGCTATGTGTTTAAATAGAATCTGATGGCAACATTCAAAAATAGTTGTGGGGAAGACAGTTATGATGCACGTGTACCCATGTAGCATACCCCTGTAGAAGCCAGTGTGGTATAGTGGCTAAGAGTGCTGGAATAGTATCTGGGAGACCCGGGTTCGAATCCCCACATGATACCATGGTGACATGCTGGGTGACCTTGGGCTAGTCACACACTCTCGGCCTAACCTACCTCACAGGGTTGTTGCGAGGATAAACTGGAAGAGAAGAGAAAAATGTAAGCTGCTTAGGTCCCCATTGGAGAGGGAGGAGGAGTACAAATGATTTAAACAAAAATAATAAACACTCCTCAAAGCATTTTATGTGCTCAGTGGAGCCATCTGTGTTCAACCAGACTGCTCTACCCACTCATTATACACTATCCTTTCTTCTCTGCAGTGAAACTACTCCCCAAGCATCTGTCTGAACTCTTTAAAGCCATGACAACCATGAAAACTGCAGTGTACTACGATGGTGTCTTTGTGTATGCTGTCTTTCTCCATGCAATGGTCACCTCGAGATTAGACTACTGTAATGCTCTCTACATGGGGCTGTCCTTGTCCCAAATCCAGAGGCTACAGCTGGTGCAGAATACGGCAGCCAGGCTCTTGTTGGGTCTCCCCTTGCAGGATCACATTCAGCCTGTGCTGAAAGCACTGCACTGGCTACCTATAGTATACTGAATTTGCTTCAAGGTGCTGGTTCTTACCGATAAAGCCCTTTATGGTCAGGGGCCTGCATTCCTGAGGGACCGCCTTTTCCCATATATCCCCCAGAGAGTACTATGATCAGGGTTGCAAAATCTTCTGGCTCACCCTGGCCCTAACGATACCAGGCTGGCTACTACCAGGGCTAGGGATTTTTCTCTGGCGGCTCCGCACTGGTAGAATGAGCTCCCAGAGTATATCAGGGCCCTGTGGGATTTATTGCAATTCCACAGGTCCTGCAAGACAGAGCTCTTCTACTAGGCATTCAACCAAGGAGCCGCATCTAATAGTTCAACAGAGGTTAAGACCCTATGGAAAGCATTACTGGCAGCCTGTGCTGCGCCGGTAGAACTGAAATATATTATGGGACTTGGACAACAGTCCTATAATTACTGCTGATTGCTGCCCACTATGGCTAATAACAAAACCGTGTTTCGCCATCCTGTATGTATAATTAGTACCTTATAAATACTTATAAATGTTTTATGTTTTTAACTGTTTTTTAACCTTTTATGTTAGCTGCCCTGAGCCTGCTTTGTCGGGGAGGGCGGGGTATAAATCGAATAAATAAAATAAAATAAATATAATCAACCACAATTGCTAATGAATATCTGGTCCATGGCCTACTAATACAAAATAAACCACCTGAAAGGACCCCTCCCCCTCCCCCACCAGAGACCCCTTGGTTAGTGGGGTCCCCATATTATTTTGGACTTAGTTGTTTTAAGAGGCACTCCTTTTTACAGCCCAAGTGCAAGGGGACCTGAAACTAGGTAGTCTCATAAAGGCACCTGGGTTCTGCCATGACCCTGGAAATTCCAAGGGACAGGCGATGAAGGGTATGCTGGCATCACAAATTGATTCAGTGCAATCTATCACAGCTCGGGGTTCTCAATAACAATAAGATGTTACTTAATTCTCAGTAACAAAAGACTTTTCAACACTGGAACATCCTGGCATATCCCAGAAATGTCTACCCAGCCCGAGGATATTGCTATTACATAATCAATGCCCAGTTCCTCTTTCTCCTTTTTTAACTCAATCAAGAAGCGCACCGAAGTTATTAATTTTTGCTCCATCCTGCTTCCGGAGCTGTCTTGACTCACTCAAAACTTTTGTTATCACTGCAGATCTGGCTCACTTCAACCTAATTAAGGTATGTTAATCATGTTGCCTCACCCAGGCTCTTTGTGCCCTTGCAGATTTGGCTCACAACAGCCTAATCCAGGTATTTTCCTCTGCCAAAGTTTGACAGCAGTTACCTTCAAACTGCCCAGTCAAATATAAGAAACATATCTTGGACCAATCATGGTCCTGGGAAAGCAGGTTCCCATATCTAGCTATGGGACTCTTCCCCATAAAAAGACCATCCCAGGTCACTGAAAAATGTGTCATGTTTTCCCACTACCTGAACACCCCTGCAACTGTGTTGCAGGCTTTTTCTCCTTGCTTGGTTGGCTCCTCACTCTGCTCCTTTGACTTCTCCAGACCTCAAGACCACGATTTCAGGTTGTATGTCCCTTCCCCAAAACTTCCCAGTTTCCTCCCTGTTCCTTTTTATCAAATGCACCCTCTTGCTGGTGTGTGAATGTGCATGCGTGATTACTTAGGGAACTAGTTCTCAAGTGTTTAGTTTAGATTTTTTTCTATTTTTACTTCTTTTATTTTGTATACAATAAAGTTGTTTGTGTTTAAAATTTCTCTCACTCACTATTTTTCTTTGTAACTTTATTTTGGGGTACCATTACCGAGATCCACCCTGGTATACATAGGGTGAGGTCCTGTGTTA